GGCTGCGGGGCTCGCTCACCTGGGCATCCGCCGCCCCTCTGCGGGGGCGAGGGTGAGCCCGCGGAGGGGCCAGCCCGGGGGGGTGTAAAGCAGGGTTTTCTGAAAGATGCGCGCACACACACACACACACACACAGAGAAATGCTGTTGCTGTTTAAGTGTATGTTAGCTTTCTTCCCAGTGTCATTTGAATAATTCAGTGAGCCCCACTACCAGCTGTACTTCTGAAGCCTCTTCCATTCTTTTCAGCATTATAATTTTGGTTAATTTTCAATTTTAGGCCCTACGTCTCTGCAATTTGTGTATGAATAACAGAATAATTTTCCTCTTTTGTTTCGCCTTTCCTGTTCCTGAATCTAAATAAAGATGGCTTTTTAGTATTAAAAGTGGAAGAAAATTACAGGTAATTATCTTTGACGGTAAAAACGCTGTAATCAGCGGGCTACATGAAAAATTACTCTAATTATGGCTGCATTTAAGAGAATGGAAAAAAACCTTCTTGTGGATAAAAACCTTAAATTGTCCCCAATGTCTGCTTCAAATTGGATGGCACTGCAGCTGGAGGCTTTGTTCAGAATTGATCCTGGGGAGCTCTGAACCCAAAGTTTCACAGTGGGAAGGGGAAAAAAAGAAAAGAAAACATTTTTCCTAATGTAACAATACGAATGGTAGAAAATGACAAGACTGATCGGTTTTAAACCACTCTGAAGACTGACTGAGCGTGGAAGTTGCTCAAAAAAAAACAAAAAAACACCCCCCAAAAAACTGGTATATTGGTAAGTAGTCTTTGCTTTGTGTCTAATTATAGTGACTGTCCTTTTGCACGACTGTATGTAGCTGTCATTATATGGAGCACTCTGAGGATCTCTATTGACTTCTGATAAATGGCTCAGTGGTTTCAAGGTTCATAATTTGAAGGATGCCCAGGTCTCTAGCCATTAATTCTCGCAGTATGGGGCACCCAGCTTGGATGAGGAAAGGGCTTTTCATTGTCAGTAGTTGCTGTGCTTTCCACAAGCTGGTGAGGCTGGAGCTGGCTGGACAGCGTGTTGTGTGCCTGGGCACCTCTCAGGGCTCTGCAAAACATTCCTCAGCTTGCATTGTCTGCTCTTTAAAAACAAAGGAGGGCGCCTCCTTTCTTAATAATTCGGAGCCTCCAACCTTTGGGAAGAAAGGCAGGGCTCCGAGCTTTGCCTCGGCGAGAAAGCTCAGCTCAGCTGAGCAGCGGAGCAGTGAAATCGCAGTAGAAATGACCGGGTGATAAGAAACTTCTTCTAGGCTTATCTTTGCGGTCTCGATATCTCCTGTCTTAGTCGTAAAACTAACCAAACCACCAGCTCCCCGCGCCTCCCCATCCTTTCTGTCTTTGCTCGCAGATATACGTTCAGGTAGCGGTGTCTGTGCGTGCAGGCAAGCGGGGGGACAGCGTGAGCTGCCTGGGCTGAACTCGGGGGGCAGGTCGGGGGAGGTGGGGATCCGCTAAGGCGGAGAGAAATAGGAGCCAGGCGGGCGTTTTGTGGCTTTTACTCTATATATGAAAGAAGACAAAACCATACAAAGTATATATACAACTAAAATTCAACAATATATACAGAAAGGTTGCTCGGGGGCGAGGTCCCTCGCTCAGCGGGTGAGGCTGCCGTCAGGCAGCGCGGAACCTGCCTTCCCCCGGCCGCGGCGGCGGGGGGCGCGGGGTGCAGCCGCGGATCCCTCGCTCTGTCTTTCCTGCTCGTCTCCGGGAGTCTGTCCGGCTGTGTGCGGGTGTGTGCGGGTGCGGGTGAGGGGGCTCTTCGCGGGAGAGACGGTGGTTTCTTCTGAGCCGCAGCCCATTGCATTTTGAGAAAGCATGCAGGTTTTGCTTCGTGGTAATGTTCTAATCTTACAGTATATTTTCATTTTTTCAACCAGTTCTCCTTTTTTCCCTTCTTCTTTTTTTTTTTTTAATCCCTTCTTCTCTCTTTTAATTTTTTTCCCCAGTCCGGATTTGGTGAATAAAAATGAAGGAGCTTTGACTAGTCTCTCTTTCATCATGTAATGTCTTTAGCTCATTAAACAAGTAAAAACGGCTGCCATGGTAGATTCAGGTTCTTCTTGTGGGCAAAGTCTGTAAAAAGTTTGTTTTGACGTATACTCCACAGAGAAAGAAGCTGGTGCCTTGGAGTCCAAAGGAAAATATCCTAAAGAGAAGTGTCTTCTGTGCGCCAGAATGAAAATTGTGTCTTTCTGTTCAAGATCAATCGCTGAGGTTACTTAAAAAAAATAAAATAAAATGAAGCCACTCTGTCTCTTTGCCGCATCTACAAGTTCACACAGAGCCTGTTAGCTGGCACAGCTTGGCAAAGCAGGGGAACTTTTTGCCATGTCGAGACGAGGCGTTCTTGGGAGATTATTTCTCTTGGACAATTCACATCATTTGTGGTCTCTGCATTGTGTCTTGATGTGGAGAAGAATACCAGTGAGAATAGCCAGGCATGTAGCTGTTGGGAGGCATATTGACTCCCTTGGCAGAAGCTGAAACGTCCCAGACTGGAGGCAGAGCCGGAGAGCGAGGGGAGAGGGCGGCGGAGCCGGGCAGAGGGTCGCTCTCGTGGGGGTTGCTGCCCTGCTTCAGCAGCTTCTTGAATTTGGAGCGTTTGTTCTGAAACCAGATCTTCACCTGTAAACCAAAACGCAGCAGACGTTAGGCTGCCGTCAGCACCCAGGGCACGGCAGGGGAGACGCCGGGGGCCGTGGGTTTGCTCTAGAGAAGGTCTTGAGAGCCCACGCCGGTCGGGTGTGGGGTTGGGGATGGGGAGAGCTACTGCTGCTGCTGCTCTCGGGCTCCGGATGCAGCTGGAGAGGACAGGAGAGGCAGAGCGGGGCTGGAAAGCGAGGGGATGCAGGTTTTAACGCGGAACGTTATTTTCCCTGGGCAGGCCAGATTGATCGAGCTGAAACAGAGTACATGCTCTGAGCTCTCCTGCTTTAACGCCTCACTCGGAATTTTGGAGGTCATTTGATCATTTGGGCAAACTGTTGTCAAACACGGGCAATCATATGATTTTGTGCCAGGAGACAGGAGCCAATAGACAAAGGGCATCTTAGAAAGAAATCGCGCATCCGAGAACATGCACGGTCAAGAGGTCCTTGCTGATGTGACGGGGGAGGAGGCGCGATGGAACCAGGATTGTGGCTTTATTCTAAAAGTTGTTTTTAAAGAGAGGAAAATTCTCTTTTCTCGGCGAGTAATTGGCTATCAAGATTGCTTTGGGTCTCATCCTGCTCCTAATCCAGCAGAACTCCCGAGGAGGGAGCCTGCACTCGACGGGATGTGCAAGGATCGGGTCCACTCTGGCAGATCAGAAGTGTTATAGAAATTATATATATGTAAGACATATACACACACATATTTCTTAAAATCAAACAAACAAAGAAAAGTACTCCCACATGTGTATTTGACCTTGCAAACTTTGCAGACGTAGTGTTAGGGCATAAGCAGGGGTGCTTGTCTAGCTGCATGCTCAGGATCGGGCCGCTAAATCTATGTGTGCTGGAGAGAAAGCGAGACAGCAGAGAGACAGAGCGTGCATGCTAAGGGTACTAAAATCCCATTTGTAAAACCATCAGGTCTGTTCCCATGATTAATGTTTGCTGAGTATTTAAAAATCGCTGGCTGGAAGCGACTGTTATCAATGACAATGATAAAATCCTGAAGTTATTTGTTAAGCTCATAAATTCACATGATTACATTTTACCCGAATTGATCCCATCTATCCATGCACGTCTCCGCAAACCCCAGCCTGGGAAGCCTCTAATGCCTCGTGTGTCTTTCAAGCTTAAATTAGCAGAATGGCACAGCTACTCCAACCACACTTAACTATGGCTTAACCTGCTATAATTTTGTACACGGCTGTCTTTGATCTTCAGATCTATTATCACCTTTCGTACATTTTGCCCAAGGGTAACCACTGCGTTTGCGTTAGTCATCCAGGATGAATAAACTATTGATTTTACAGGTATTTCCTAACGTGTTCCTCCTTCCTCTCTACCTATAGGGTGCTACGAGGCAGCTTTGCTTCGCTTTTAGCTCTACCTCAGGCCCAGCGATTCCTCGCCTTTGTTTTGTTCTCCTTTTCACAGCTGGGCAATTGCATCTCGGTGCTGGAATTATCCGAAAATACAGGCAATTTTAAAATCTTATGTGTGGCATCAAAAGGGAGCGTTTGCTCGCCAGACGGCTGAGGGAAGGGCGCATTCGGCTCCTTCTGCGGTAGACCGGTCTCTCTGTCGTGCATTAGATAAGTTCTATCGCACAGAGGTGCGGGAGCGTGTGCGTTACTTTTTCTACCGCTCCCGTACAGAGGCCAAAACGTCTAGGGAGCATCGTACTTTGCTTGGCCTTTATTGCTCGCGCAGGATTTCAGTGATTTGGGATTCCCAGTAATTACCTGTGTCTGGGTAAGTCCTAATGAAGCTGCCAGTTCAGCTCTCTCTGGAAGTGCCAGGTATTGAGTCTGCTGAAAGCGATGATTTAAAGCCTGGAGTTGTAGACTAGAGTAAATGGTTCGAGGCTTCCGAATCTTTTTCCCTTTTCCATTGAATCTGATTTCACCGTTTTCAATCACTGTGGTTTTTTGCTGGTCTGCAAGCAAAACAACACAGCTGAAACATCACCCTCCTCAGCTATTTGACGCGGGCATTTTGGCTGCCACGGCTCTTAAAAACCCGGCAGCCTGCCCCGGCGCCGGTTCAACACCATCGCGTACACACGGGCTCCGGCTCCGTAAAGGCACGCCGCGACCCACGCTGCTGCTTGGGAGCAACCGGGAGAAAAAAAAACTGTCCGGGAGCAGTGGGCACGCCGCCTTTCCCCGGGGCGGGGGGGGAGGAGAATAATATTTTTTAAAAATGTTAAAATAAAGTGCAGCACTGGCTTCGTGAAGGGATGCCTGGCGGGCCATCCAGGTTTTAGCCAGCTAATTGACTTCGCGTCGCCAGTTTGGTGGTCAGTGAATCACCAGTCCGAGACTTTTAACAATGCTTTTCT